TGAGAACAAAGGCCCAGGTGAGGGGATAGGTTGTATCACTATTATTGTTCAGTTCAAAGAATTTTTTAATTTCCATCTTGATTTCATTGTTGACCCAATGATCATTCAGGAGCAGGTTATTTAATTTCCATGTATTTCTATGGTTTTGAGGGTTCCTTTTGTAGTTGATTTCTAATTTTATTCCACTGTGGTCTGAGAGAGTATTTTATATAATTTCGATTTTCTTAAATTTACTGAGACTTGTTTTATGGCCTATTGTATTGGCGGAACCCACCCCCAATATTTCAACGTAGGTTCTTTCTATTTTCCATAAGTGTCGGCCGGTTGAGAAATAAAGAGAAAGAGTACAAACAGAGGAATTTTACAGTTGGGCCTCCAGCGGTGACACCACATATCAGTAGGATCGTGATGCCCACCTGAGCCTTAAAGCCAGCAAGTTTTATTGAGGATTTCAAAAGGGGACGGGGTGCAAGAACAGGGAGTAGGTCACAAAAATCACATGCTTCAAAGGGCAAAAAGGAGAACAAAGATCACATGCTTCTGAGGAAACAGGACAAGGGCAAAACCAGAAACTCCTGATAAGGGCCCAGCAAAGATCAGAAGGCAAAGGGCAAAAGCAGAATTACTGATAAGGGTCTATGTTCAGTGGTGCACATATTGTCTTGATAAACATCTTAAACAACAGAAAACAGGGTTTGAGAGCAGAGAACTGGTCTGACCTCAAATTTACCAGGGTGGAGTTTCCCAATCCTAGTAAGCCTGAGGGTACTGCAGGAGACCAGGGCATATTTCAGTCCTTATCTCAACCTCATAACACAGACACCCCCCGAGTGGCCATTTATAGACCTCCCCCCAGGAATGCATTCCTTCCCCAGGGTGTTAATTATTAATATTCCTTGCTAGGAAAAGAATTTAGCAATATCTTCCCTACCTGCACGTCTGTTTATAGGCTCTCTGCAAGAAGAAAAATATGGCTCTATTTTGCCTGACCCCACAGGCAGTCAGACCTTATGGCTGTCTTCCCTTGTTCCCTAAAATCGCTGTTATTCTGTTCTTTTTCAAGTTGCGCTGGTTTCATATTGTTCAAGCACACGTTTTACAATCAATTTGTGCGGTTAATACAATTATCACAGTGGCCCTGAGGTGATGTACATCCTCGGTTTACGAAGATAACAGGATTAAGAGATTAAAGTAAGACAGGCATAAGAAATTATGAAAGTATTATTTGGGAACTGGTAAGTGTCCATGAAATCTTCACAATTTATGTTCCTCTGCTGCAGCTCCAGCTGATCCCTCCATTCAGGATCCCTGACTTCCTGCAACACTATTATATGGTCTATCTTGGAGAATGGTCCATGTTCTGATGAACAGAATGTATATTCTGCAGCTGTTGGGCAGAATGTTCTGCAAATATCTGTTAAGTCCATTTGTTGTAGGGTATAGTTTAGGTCCTCTTTTACATTGTTGGTGGGAGTATAAGTTAGTTCAACCATTGTGGAAGACAGTGTGACAATTCCTCAAAGACCTAGAGACAGAAATACCATTTGATCCAGCAATCCCATTACTGGGTATATACCCAAAGGAATTTAAATCATTCTATTATAAAGATACATGCATATGTATGTTCATTGCAGCACTATTCACAATGGCAAAGACATGGAATCAACCTAAGCACCCATCAATGACAGACTGGATAAAGAAAATGTGGTATATATACACCATGTAGCCATTAAAAGGAATGAGATCATGTCCTTTGCAGGGACATGGATGGAGTTGGAAGACATTATCCTCAACAAACAAATGAAAGAACAGAAAACCAACCACCACATATTCTCACTTATAAGTGGGAGTTGAGTGATGAGAAAACATGGACACAACAGGGGGAACAACACACAGTCGAGGCTGTCGGAGGAAGGCATGGCAGGCGGGAGAGCATCAGGAAGAATAGCTAATGGATGCTGGGCTTAATACCTAGGTGAAGGGATGATCCGTGCAGCAAATCACCATGGCACAAGTTTACCTATGTAACGAACCTGCACATCCTGCACATGTACCTCTGAACTTAAAAGTTGAAGAAAAAAAAAGTCACACTTAAACACATAAACATGTATTATATATATTTAATAAATATGAAATATTAAACAATGTATAATATACTTAATAGACAAAATATTAAACAATATATTATATATTTATAAATATAAAATTATATATATACGCATATATATGTATATATATACTTAAATTATCTCTTCTGAAGGTTGAAAGAGGCCAAAGTAGGTAGGGCTTAAAAACAAGGGCTTCTACTGATGGTTTTGGAACCTTATATATATACTAAAAGCCACTCAGGTATATATTTAAAATGGTGAATTTTACAGTATATGAATAATATCTCACTTAAAACATTTTAAAGCAAGTAGCTGTGTGACCTTGGCAACTTGTTTAGCTTTTCTACCTTGACTGATTCATTGCACATTCAGCTTATTGTCTTACCGTGAGAGAGAAGGCAGGATGAACATTGGGTGACCATGAGCTGTATTGGCTCTAAAGGCCTTGGAAGGTCTGGATCGTCCCCACCTCTCCAGTGACTCCTGCATCCCAGCCCCCTGACCCTCTGTAGTCTGTGCATGAACCCTCGGAGGGTTTCTCTGGTGCAACCTGATCCCTCCCACCCAAGATACCACCTCCCCCACCTGGTGAACTCTTATTTGTCCTTCAGCTCTCAGAACAGGAATTTCTTAGGGAAGGTTTTCTTAATTCCCTAAAAGAAGTTAGATTATTTGTTATATACCTTCACTGAGTTCTGGTCTTCACTTCAGAGCAATTATTTCTGGTTTTGGCTATACTTCTACTGCACAATTCTTTGATTAAATCTGCTCTGCTACTCTACATCCCCATGAAGGTTGTTGTGGCTTGGCTTATCACAATGTCCCCATGCTTAGGAGAGTGTGGGCTTTCCATAAGTGTTCATGGAATGGGTGAGTGAATGAATGAATCAGAAATCAGGCACAGAGAAAGACAGAGGGCCCTCTTACAACTCCTTCAGTTGTTCTATAGTATAGTTGTATTAGAATCTAGGTCATGTGACTTCTAGTCAAAATATCACCAGACTCACATTTTCTCTGATATTTTAAAACATAAGAGATGATCACTCCTAGCCATTACTTTTCTGACCCTATGTACAATGCCCCTGTCTTTCTAAGACTCACACCACTTACCTTTACTACCCTCTACTACTCCTGGTTGCTATAATTTCCCAATCTCCCAGTCATTCCTTATTCATTAAAACCTTCATCATGAGGTTCACGATCTTTCCTTTACTCCATGTGCCACCATCATCCTGAGTGCCTCCTACATGTATATGAATGAACAGTCCTACCCTCTGGTCTCTTCATTTATTGACCCTGATCTCTAGAGAGTGTCATGACACTTAATCCACCTGTGGTTATACCCTTGTGTTGGCATCACCTGCAAATGTTCTACCTCTGAAATCTTACGTCTATGTATCTCACTTTTTGACCACTATTGCTATGGACTAAATTGTATCTCTCCCAAATCCATGTGCTAAAGCCCTTCTCCTCACTGTGATGGTATTTTGAGATGGGGCTTTTGGGAGGTAATTGGCTTTAGATGAGGTCATGAGAGTGATGCCCTCATGATGGGATTCCTTCCCTCATAAGAAGAGACACTGGACGTGGGGGCTCATGCCTGTCCTAAATACTCTGGGAGGCTGAGGCAGGAGGATCACTTGAGGCCAGGAGTTTGAGACCAGCCTGGGCAACATAGTAAGACTCTGTCTCTACTAAAAAATATAAATAATTAGCCAAGTGTGATGGTGTGTACCTGTAGTCCCAGCTGTTTGGGAGGCTGAGGTTGGAGAATCACTTGAGCCCAGCAGTTTAAGGCTGTAGGGAGCTATGACTGCATCACTGCACTCCAGTTTAGGCAATAAGGCAAGACCCTAACTCTTAAGAAAAAAAGTAACAACAACAAAACAGAGAAAGAGACTTTTTGCTCTCTCTCTTCCTTTCTCTCTCTCTCTCTCTCTTTCTCGCGCGCTCTCTCTCTCTCTCTTTCTCTCTCTCTCTCTCTCTCTGTCATGTGAGAATACCACCAGAAGTTGGTAGTCTGCAACACAGAAGAGGGCCCTCCCCAGAACCTGACCATGTTGGCACTCTGATCTTGGACATCCAGCATCTACAACTGTGAGTGAAATAAGTTTTGGTCGTTGAAGCCACCCAATCTATGATGTTTTGTTACAGCAGCCTAAGCAGCCTAAAACAACTACCTTCAGTCATTCCAGCTCCATTGACATCCCCAGCACTTTGCCTTCACAAAACTTATCTGCCTTTTCTTGAATTCTTTTCCTTCCCCAGTCAGCTTAGTTTCTTAGTCTTTCATCTTAACTATTTTCTTTCCAATATCACTAGATCCCTTGCCCATTGCCCTTTTATTGGATCTTCTTGGCACAACTTTAATCCTGCTTCAATCCAACTGTTCACTTTCACAATGCTTATATCTGTGTTTTAGAGTGATATTGGAGAAAATCACGCAACTACATAGATTAGTGACTTTGAAGATTAATGCTCAGCAACCTCAAATGTGCTCTTATAATTACCCATTTCTCCTTTATTTTCACAATCTACTCTTTCTTCTGTATTCAGCAATGATCATTTTAAACATCCTCCACTCAGAATTCTATCACATCATTTTCTCATTCTCATCAGGTGACATTGCCTCATACTTCACAGAGTAAACAGGAATTGTCAGGTGGAAACTAGCTCAACTACCTGCTGTGAAAACTGTAAGTTTATAAGTTATCTGTACTTGTAATTCTTTGTCTTGCAATGAAAGGCGGGGAGGGGTCCCTTTAGATTAAAACAATTCCTTTTCCCGTGCTTCAGATCCAGTTCTGCATTTTTAGTGTGTGCTAGTGCTCTGAGAATGTGCATACATAGTGAATGGACAAGTTTGGTTTCTGGCTGAATGGTGAATCAGCATCAACCTACAGTTGCTGTCTTGCCATAACCTTCATAGATATTCAATTTTGTGATGTGTTTCCAGTCCTCAGTCACCCCAGGGCTGATGGATCCTCCTACAGCCACACAAAGCTTCAGACTCTTAAATCTGTAGCTGCAGAGGCATCAAAAGTTGTTCTTAGCCTTACTGAATATTTCTACCAATAGCAGGTCTGTTGTGAGAAAGAAACTTGCAAAAATGATACAGATATTGCCAAATATGTAGGAGGTACTCATTAAGTGGTAGTTTGTGTTCTTATTACTAGTCTTTTAGATTATCTATTCAGACACCCCAGTTACATCAATCTCTATGAAGACTCATTTACTCTTCTGGACAAGTAGTATTAATGTTAAAAGTAAATCAATAATTATTAACTGATGGCAGGAAGCCAGCCTTCGGTAGAAACCCTTCTGAGTTCTATTACCACCCCAAAAGCCTTGCCTGTGTATAAAGAATGTGTCAGCAATGGTAAGGTAAAGAAAGAACTAATTTTCTGAAGTCTGGGGATGGAGAGACAGCCACCAATTTTACAAACTGAGCTGAAAGTCTCTGGATATTATGAGAAGTTTCCATAGGGCCCCAGACATAGAATAGTAGTGAACACTTTTCATGAACCCACAATTCATTTTATGTGTATTTTATTTTGGTAATGGTGGAAGGTTCCAGTGTGGGAAGATGATTAGAGCAAAACTCTTCATGGTCTCAGATAGAGATAGAATGACTATGTATTTTGAACATAATAGTGTCAATTAATTGTTATGTGGTAGCTCATCTGTATTAGATAATACTTGCCCACCCAGTTAGGTCTTGAGACTAAGAAAGATCAGAACTGGAGAACTGTTTCTGAATTAATTCCAAAGGCACTATCTTATCATTGCCTTTTTATTGTTAATTTTAGGGTACAAGTGAGAGTTGACTATTTGTAAAATTTTAAGTCCTTTTCTTTCAAGAGTATAAGAAATAATCTGTCTGGGCACAGTGGTTCATGCCTGTAATCCCAGCATTTTGGGAAGCAGAGGTAGGAGACTTGCTTGAGCGCAGGAGTTCAAGACCAGGCAACATAGTGAGACCAGGTCTTTAGAAAAAATGAAAAAAAAATATCCAGGTGTGGTGGCATGCACCTGTAGTCCCAGTTACTTGGGAGGCTGAGATGGGAGGATCCCTTGAACACCTCAGCAGCCCAGGCAACAGAGCAAGTCCCTGTCTCAAAAAAAAAAAAAAAAAAAAAAGAAAGAAAGAAAAGAAAGAATCTGAACATTTTATATGGGTGAATAAAGATATACTGTATTTCAACTTTTTTTAATTACTCCATAAAATGCCAATGAACTAGACATTTGTTTATGTCATCGTAATTTAATATGTTGCTATTGTTTGCTACCACAAATGCTCCCTTCATAGAGTATATGTCCTTGCTCACACAGCTAAAGTAAAATTTACAGTTAAATTATTATTTAGCAAACTCTAAGGCATGACACAATGCTTTGGAACCTGTGATTTCTCATTAATCTTTAGTGATGATTAATCTGGGCACAGACTCCACAAAACTTTGGCAATTCCACTTTTCAGTGGGTACTCTAGAGAATTCTAGGATATGTGCAAAGATTCTTATTTCAGCAGCTTGGAAAAGATTCAAGTATCTTTGATAGGTACTTGGGGCTCATTAACATATAAATCATACTAAGGAATACTATGCAATGATTAAAATATATTGCACATATTATCATAAATAGAGCTCTAAGGAACAGTGTGGAGTGAAAATGCAGGTTTTACTATGATATATATAGTATGATACCATCTATATAATCTGATCCCAATATTTCAGTATATTGCAATGAAGATAGGTAGATAAAGATAGATATGAATTTATTTTTAAAACATCTAAAAGGATTTACATCCAATAAGGAAGGTGGTCTTCATTTTTAATATTTACCTTATTTACAGGTAATGCATTTGTCTTTAATGTTTATCTTTTTAAAGGGAGGTATAATTCACAAATTGATTAAGCAAACTCAACTTTATGATTATAATTTAGTTTTATATTCTGGACTCCTGTGGAGCCAGAAGATATGGCCTTGAATAGTCACAAGATAATAAAAAAAATCCCACACTCTAACAAAGTTATTGCCATAAATGGCAACAAGATAGGTGTGTTAATGAAAGATAGGATTGGATCTACTTCAACAAATTGAGGGTTTCTAATCTTATTTATGATACCAAGAGTGGAAATAGACTATCTCCTGAAAGAGCCTCTCTTACCTGGCGAAACACTTGTGCTGAAGCAGTTTCTGGTACATCAGTGGATTTGCAGATAGAGTGGTGGTGGAAGACCTGAACAGAGCCTGGGACCACAAGGAAGAAAAACCAAATCTATATGTTAAATGGGAAAGATAGTGAGACCGTGGTGGGGAAGGTTCAGGGAAGATGGCCACTAACTTTGAGACTCAGCTGGGGCATACCCTTTGTCTTGGAGATTTAGTGATTCTTCAACCTCCAGACCTTGGGAGAGAATTTAGCTTCAGCTGTGTGAACCTAGCAGCTATCATGTTATTCACTGATATCTGAATAGATACACAATGAGGCATTTACTGCAGGATCCTAGAAGCCTTATTTTGATCTTTGTTGCTTTGAATAATAAGCCTGGATATTGTCAGTAAAATTGTGGATTGTGGAGGCACTTAAGAGGTTAGCACAACAGTTTAGAGATTGTGCTGTGGAGTCCAATAGACCATGATTGCTTAATGTCTAATTCCACCTCTGTGATTCCTTGGGCTAGGTATTTATCCTCTATGAGACTCAGTTTACCCAGTTTTTCCCTTACAGGGTTGTTGGGGAGATGAAATGAAATAATGCATATGAAGTACTGGTGAGTAGTCAATGAATAGTAACTGATATTAATATTGTCTTCTTCAATATCATTATCGTCTTTTAAAAGTTTTCTTTTCAGGCCAGGAACAGTGGCTCACGCCTGTAACCCCAGCACTTTGGGAGGCCAAGGTGGGTGGATGACCTGAGGTCAGGAGTTCGAGACCAGCCTGGCCAACATGGTGAAACTCTGTCTCTAGTAAAAATACGAAAATTAGCTGGGCATGGTGGCGGACACCTGCAATCCCAGCTACTTGGGAGGCTGAGACAGGAGAATCGCTTGAACCCGGGAAGCGGGAGGTTGCAGTGAGCCGAGATCACGCCATTGCACTCCAGCCTGGGCGACAGAGCAAGACTCTGTCTCAAAAAAAAAAAAAAAAAAAAAGTTTTCTTTTGAGTGATGCAACTGAACTAGCCAAGTCCTCCCAATTCCAAAGGCCCTAGAGAAGTGAGAGGGCATTGCTCTCAGAAGTAGGGAGAGCATCTTTATGTCAAGATCACACTCCAGATTTAATTCTTGATTTGCCCCATATGGGGCATGAGCCACTGGGCCATTGCTAATACCTCTTTCTGGCCTTTGCCCCATGTCCCACAACAAGGACCTGGTCTTCCATTTAGAACAGTCTCAGGACAGAAAATTGGCATGTGACATAGAAACACAGGGCTCCTTGGAGCTGAGCTCCCAAGGCAGTACTTAGAGATAAAGATCCAACAAAGGCATCACTTAGACCACAAAATACTTGTTAGCTGGAGGTCCATCCACCATCTAAAGAGCAATAGGAAAGCCATTTGGATTTTCTCATGTTAGTATTAGCAACAATAATAATTCTTGCTATTATCAAGCACTAACCTGTGGAGAGAAACAAGGACCACCCAAATGGAAACAAACAAAGGCTATGAGACCAGGAGGCTAATGGAGTCTCCTTAAATTCTGTGGTTATCACTTAACTGGTATGATACTGCCTTCCAGGAATCATGGCTTTCAGGGGTCTCTGAAGTGTCTCTGAAGTGTAATTAATAAAATTGATTAATGATTTGAATAAATGAATGATCTCCTAAACCATTTTAATAAATGAGTTAGAATACTTTCTCCTATTCTAATTCTCTACCTGATATCCACTGGCCATTATAGCTTGTGAGAGTCAAAGCCTTTGAGGTGAGTATGAACATCACATACACCTATTTCCCCTAAGGGACTTTTGGGTAGAGTTTGTTAAGAGAACCTGAGTGTGGAGTCACAACACACAACCATTTATCTTACGCAGAATTGAATGTAAGGTCGGTAAACTTAACCGCAGACAAGCCAAACTAAAACAAATGCCACCCAATTAATTACTTAATTGTGTATTCAACCAAAGAGATTGAAATGAGTTTCAGCATCCCTTGAATTTGCCAAGAGAGGCATTTACTTCTGAACTCCAGAAGCCTTGTTTTGATCATTGTTGCTTTGAGTAATAAGCCTGGATATTGCCAGTAAAATTGTGGCAATTTTACTGATGCTAGAAAGAGGCATTTGCGTTGGCCCAGTGACTCATGCCCAAAAGAATTCGTGAGCTACTTAAATAATGTTTTTAAAGGGGTAGCGTGATGACATGTGATTCTCATCTTAGAATCTGACTCTAGAACCCCAAACCCTCATAAATTGTGACTCTGTCTCTGTGTTTATTACTACATATAGTGGTCAACACAATTATTCACCCCGGTGCTGGTAGCACTGAAGAACAAGTAACATCCAACGGTGCGTCTTTGGGGTAATCATCCTGGATCCCTCCTTAGCTGCATGGATTTACTGCTCTTCCTCTTTTTTCCACATACTCTTAGATTTTTTATCTGTAGTAATCTGCTTTTGATCCTTTGATGTACACCCTCCCACCCTGCTTTCAGCCCTGTTCCTTCTCTCAATATTGATGTTTTCTGCAATCTTGAGTAACGAACTCTTTTCTTAGCTTTAGTCTCATGAAACTCTCCCTTTACCACCCCAGAGAAGAGCTTTCAAGCCTGAACAGAGTGTGTGAGGACTATATCTGGAAGCCTGGCTGAATTCCATTCCCAAATCATACTGGGAATACTCGGCCAGTTTAGAAGCTCCCATTGTCCCATTGGTGAAGAATATAGCCATTGCATGTTGACTTTTGGTCCCCATGAAGGTCTGCTTTGGAGGTACAACTCTATAAATTACAAAAGATGCAACAGCAAGGTTCTAAATTTAGGTTCTCTGACCTACAGCCTAGGCTCCTGGTTTGGTAATCTTTTATTTTTTAAAATAACAGCTAGTATCTTGGCATATTGGGGGATGATTTATTAGAGGTGCAGCTGCCATTTTTTCCCTTAATTTTTTTGCATTAATTTCTGTTGGATAAGTAATATATGATGCCTTTATGTTTCAGCCTTATTTTTCTCAGTAAAATACCCTCTATTTACTCAATTGCTCAAGGCAAAAATCTGTAGTAATCCTTATTATCAGTCTTTCTTTATCTATCTACTTATCTACCCAGCTATCTATGCCACATCCTAACCACTGGCAAACTCTGACAACTTTACCTCTACAACATGTCACAAGTCTATGTCTCTTCATTATCTGTACTCAGGGCTGGGACTAAGGTGGAGCAAGTGAAACATTTGTGACAGACATGATATTTAAGGGGATACCAGCAAATTCAGTAGTCAAGATAAATAATATTTTATCAAAATATTTTTAAAATAATCAAAAGTAATGTCAAAAATTAATAATAAAATGTCCAAATTTAATTAAATTAATTTATTTATTTTTGAGATGGAATCTTGCTCTGTCATCCAGGCTGGAGTGCAATGGTGTGATCTCAGCTCACTGTAACCTCCGCCTCCCGAGTTCAAGCGATTCTTCTGCCTCAGCCTCCCAAGTAGCTGGGACTACAGGGGCCTGCCACCACGCCCAGCTAATTTTTATAATTTTAGTAGAGACGAGGTTTCACCATGTTGGCCAGACTGGTCTTGAACTCTGACCTCAAGTGATCCGCCTGCCTTGACCTCCCAAAGTGCTGGGATTACAGGTGTGAGCCACCGTGCCTAGCCACAAAATTTAAAATAAGTACATGACAATGAACGCTCCCAAAGTGGTCAAGTATTCCCCATATGGTTTAGGAATGGGATTCAATCAAGCCAGCTTCAAGGTATAGTTCTCACACAGCCTGTAATCCAACCAGGCAGTTGCATGACTCACCTTAGTCACCCTAATCTTGTCTCTGCTTCCAATAAAATTGTATTTATAAAAATAGAAGCAGGTGATCTGTCAGCAGAAGTTTGCCAATATGATTTTTTTAATTAAAAAATTAAATTACTGTATTAAAAACATAAAATTTATAAAATTATAAACAGATGATATACATATATAAAATAGATATGTAAAATTATATACAAATGTTTAAACTTCATTTATGAAAATTATTTTATAATTTGATTTTTAAAATGTATTTGAAAATTAAAATATTATTTATCTTGATCACTGGATTTTTCAGTGCCCCTTTATATTTTGTGCCTGAGGCGAGTTCCTCATTTGCCTTGCAAATTCCCAGTCCTGTCTCCACTGCCACCATCATGGTCCACAACAACACGGCTTCTCAATTGGACGACTGCAATAGCCTTCTACCAGCTCCCTTTACTACCTGTCTTGTCTCTCATTGTTCAGACAGCAGTTGAAGGAGTTTTTAAAATGTCACTCAAATCAAGTCCTTCCCCTCCACGTTCCACAGACCACTCCTACATGACCTACAAGACCCACTGTAATCTCGCTCTCCCTTGCTATTTAACCTCCTCTCCTCCCACTCTCTTTTCCACTCACCACACTTCAGGCACCCTGGTATTCTTTCTGTTCCTCACACAAGTCAAGCTCCTTCCCACCTCAGGTCCTTTACCTTAGTATTCTCTCTGATATTATTCCTAGATATTCAAAAGGCTGGCTCTATAGCATTCAAATCTCAGCTTGTCCTCTCCTAAGAAGCCACCAAATCTAAAATAATTCCCCCATCTCCACATAAGATCACTCTATTTAATTTGCCTGTTTTGGTTGGGAGTTTCTTTTGGAAACTGTATTACCTTGATCGTTTATGTATTTTCTTGTTGTCCATTTTGTTGTCTAGAATATAAAATCCATGAGGGTAGGGGCTTTGTCTGTCTTGTTCACTTTCTTGTTTTTTTTTTTTTTCTTTTTTTTTTTTACATCTCTGAACACTAAAATATTACTCTCTAAAGACCGCATTTATAATTATCAAACTTAATACATTAGTCCCACCTTATACTTGGGGGATATGTTCCAAGACTCCCAGTAAGTGCCTGAAACCACAAATAGTATTGAACCCTATATACACTATCTTTTTTCCTAAACATGCATACTTATGATAAAGTTTTATTTATAAATTAGGCACAATAAGAAATTAAAAACAATAATTAATAAAATAGAACAATTACAACAATATACTGTAATAAAAGTTGTGTGAATGTGATCTCTCTCTCTCTCAAAATATCTTATTGTACTGTAGTCAACTATTTTGGACCATGATTGACCACAGGTAACTGAAACCACAGAAAACAAAACCACAGATAAGGGGAGACTACTGTATTTGGCTAACCTGAGGATAAACATGGCATCATTTTGTTGTTTTAATATGTATTTTCCCATATCCCAGTGCCAGTGAGTTTTTTTAAATTATTATTTGTTTAAATTTAAGGGATACAACTATCGTTTTGTTACATAATGGTGAAATCTGGGCTTTTAGTGTAACCATCACCAAAATAGTGAACATTGTACCCACTAAGTAATTTCCCATTATTCACCCTCTCAAAACCTCCCACTTTTGCGAGTCTCCAGTGTCTATTATTCTACACTCTATATTTGTGTGTACACATTATTTAGTTCCCACCTATAAGTGAGAACATGCAGTATTTGACTTTGCATTTCTGTTATTTCACTGAAGATAATGGCCTCCAGTTCCATTCAGCTTGCTGCAAAAGACATAATTTCATTCCTTTTAATGGCTGAATGGTATTCCATTATATAATTATATATATTTTTATATATAAGCTTTTTATTATGTTTTGATATGTGTTTATATTTTTATCACCTATTTTTTTACCATCTCAGAATGAATGCTCAAGTATGAATCAGAAGATGAGACTTTCACTCAGACTGAGAACTTGTAGGCCAAATCAGGGATTCTTCTGTTGGTGGTGTTGGGGAGTTACTCTGTTTTTTTGTTGTTTTTTTTTTTTTTCAGGACTAGAAATTACCATTAAGCTTTTCATTACAACCACTCACACCACCTTCTCATACAACTTTCTGTCTTCCAAAATCAGACATTCGCTTGATTTAAGTTTCTCTTTTTCAGTGTCCACTTACTGAATCATCTCCTTGAAATCCAACCACCCATCATAGCACTTATCTGACACCAGGAACTTGGTCTTCAAGGTAGGGCAGTCGAACATGGCAGAGTCCATGAGTGGAAACATAGCATCACTGGCCACAAAGTATTGGGCTTTAGACATGTGTAATTGATAGCAAATTTCCTTGGCAGTCAGCTGGAGACTCCCAGGCACAAAGATGATTCCTGAAAAAGTCACAAATAAGGCTTCATACATATCTTTTGAGCAGAGAATATTTCCTCAAACATCCTGGAATGTACAGATGAGGTCTCTGGAATACCCCCTCTCTTGGGAGTTTGTCCTCTGTATTGGGGCAGCAACATGATGGTGGCTGGGGAAGAACTGAGACATGCAGGAGACTGAGCTCATTGAAACAATCCAGTGATCAGTGGCTCTGCTGCTGTTATCCTTTCCCCTGGAGCAGTCCTAAATTTATATGGTTAGGCTTCAGACCACTAGTTACTTGAAATGTAGCCTGATTTTGAAACTGTGATGCAAGGGGGTTGTGGAAACTTCCTCTTTGTTGTTTCCTCCTGGCTTGAGAATGGCTTGTGCTATGGATTTCTGGATTTGCATTGGAGACGAAAAACAACAACAAAAACAACTTCCAGCCTTTGGCTGTTTCTGTAGATTCTTTTGCATCCGTCTAACACCTACTGGGGGCCTCCTATGAGACTGGGACATGCTGGGTGCATCTGTGTGCCAGAGGCTGTTCTAACAGAGCCTTCTCTTCACTTTTCAAGCTTGGAGAACTAGAATACTTCTAGGAGAAACTGATGATGACGTTGCTTGTCTTTCAATGCTTATACATCCTAATATAGACATACTGATTTTGGAAAAGGATCTAGTTAACCAATGCAGGCGTTTCCCACATACCCCACCTTAACTTCTGCTTCTCAAATGGAAATTCTTGGGCACCATAAAAAAGTCATTGTTCATAGTAGCCCAAATGTGGAAACAATCTAAACAATCTAAAATATCTATTGACTGATGAATTGATAAACATTGCTATTGGCCTCCAGCTCCTTGCCCTGGTAACTTTCCTTAGTTATTCTTGTAAGTCCTACATTTTGTAGCTATTGCTATTGGAGCAAACAATTGTCCAGGACCCCAAATTCTACACCTTACAGCATGGCATAGATGGTTTTGACTTGGAACTTTTTAAAGAAGTTGTCAGTGGTCATCTATCACAGATCCTGAAAAGACTTTATAATGCACTCAGGAAACAGCTAATATGAGCTATGCTATTTTCATACGATCTTACCAGGAAAAAATAGTTACAAAAGATACCCAGAAAAGAAATGAAAATGTACTATATGGTATCACCGAACATGAACTAGTTATATTTTAGAATATATCTGCTCCCAAATTTTTATTTTATTGTTTTAGAAGAGTTTGATGATTTGTAAGTGGATTAATTAGTTGATCCAGACACAGTGTTAGATGCTGGGGACTCAGAGGTGAAGCAAATACTGCCCTGGCCCTCGAGGACTTCACATAAATCACCAATTGTAACTACCTGAGGTATTGGAGATACAAAGCACCCAGACTGGCTTGAGAGAGTAAAGGAAGTCTTCCAGAGCAGGTGATGGTAGAGCCCAACTTGGCAGCAAAGTGAGAGTTTTGTCACGTAGACAAGGAGGGGAAGGAAGGAATGACAGGAACAGGGAAGCGGATGGGCAGGTAAGTGTAAGGAACCATGATAGGCTTCTTCCACCTGGTACTTTCAGGAGACTATGAGTAGGCCAGGTTTTCTGGAGTGAGGTATAAAGTGACAGGGCAGGGGGAATGCTGAGAGATTTAACCAAATAGAATCATGGCATTTTAAAAGCAAAAAGCCAAAAAAAAATCACCACCTGCTGAAAAATACACAAATGTTTTCCTCCAAACTTAGAGAAGAAAATGCAAATCCAGCCCCTGCCTCCCTCTCTGCCCTCGGCTGCCTCTTCCTGCTTCCTCTCTCATTCTGCTCCAGTCACACAGGCTTCCCTGCTTTCCAGCTGGATTCCTGACACCAAGGGAACCTCCTCTGGTCTCTAGCAGGCTCCACCATGGACTCAGACTAGATCTTTCTATGACCTTCAGGGTCTTCTTCCCCAATACCCGCTTTCCTTTCTTGAAGCTCTCCTGTACCATGTTTGTCTCAGGCCATGTGAGCCACTACTTCTTTTACTATTTTTCCACATAAACCCAGATGACTAACAGCACACTAGTAATTTCACCATCATTGTAATTTGCAAGGACCTTTTTAAAGGAGGAGAATGATCCTAGAACAAAATGTTTTGTGAGGTAGTGAGCTTCTCATCACCAGTGATGTTCCAGCAGAAGTTAAATGCCCATTCCCAGGGAAGTTGTAGGAAGGAAGCACTCACTGGGTGGGATCACATAGGGGACCTCTAAAGTCCCATCTGCCTCTTAAGATTTTATTCTGACTGTACACAAACACCTAGACAGACATTTATCTCATAATTAAGCAAAATATATAAAATGTAAGTTTTTCAAATAAACAAATTTTGAGGGGCTGTGTTTTATCAAAGGGATCAGTTTGGGTGACTTTAACTAGAATCATAAAATATTACAGGTAAAGGGGACTTTGTCCACTTTGTTTCCCAAAACAAGAATTCTTTCTAATAGAACATTTTAGCACAATTACATTTTGTTTAGAATTTGACCTCGGACATAGTAGGAGATAAATATATATTTGTTTAATGAATATATAGCCAAAGAAAAAAATGTGATTTATACAACTTTTCAAAAATACAGCTATTGTTCCAAGGAAGATTCAAGTGTACAGTTTTGGCTGAGAGGACCCAGTTTGAGAAGCTGCTGTTGAGTTCAATAACAATAGTGAAAGGTGCTTGTTTTGTTTAATTTTGGTCTCGTTGTTTGGTCGTTGTTAGAGAACAAAAGGTCAACAGTGGAGACTATGAGTAGGCCAGGTTTTCTGGAGTGAGGTACAAAGTGACAGGGCAGGGGGAATGCTGAGAGATTTGACCAAATAGAATCATGGTATTTTAAAAGCAAAAAGCCAAAAAAACATCACCACCTGCTGAAAAATACACAAATGTTTTCCTCCAAACTTAGAGAAGAAAATGCAAATCCAGCCCCTGCCTCCCTCTCTGCCCTCGGCTGCCTCTTCCTGCTTCCTCTCTCATTCTGCTCCAGTCACACAGGCTTCCCTGCTTTCCAGCTGGATTCCTGACACCAAGGGAACCTCCTCTGG